TCGCGCTTGAGCATTGACGCAAAAATGTCTCTCAAGAGAACTACTCTTACTGAATCCCAAAAGCGAGCCCTTTGTAGTTATGCACATGCTAATAAGAAAAAACGTATTGAATATGTCAATTGGGTTGAAGAACAGTGGGGATTGCGTGTTAATGAAAGTACTATTTCTCGGATTTTAAAAACGGGAGAACAACGACTCAATTCGGAGCTAACTAGCCCGGATATAAAGAGACATAAACCCGTTTTATATCCAGAATTAGAGTTTACGCTCAAGGAATTTGTTTTGAACTATCAACATAGACCAGTGCTTACTGATGCTATTCTTATTGAAAAAGCCCGAAAACTCGCTAATGAATTAGAAATTCCTCGAGATGCACTACAATTTTCACCAGGATGGCTTCAGAAGTTTAAGGATCGTAACAGCATTTGCTTGCGAAAACTTGAAGGAGAGGCTATGTCTGCTGATGAAAATGCAATTTCTAATACCTTACCACTGTTAAGGCAACGTTGTTCCAATTACTCTGTTGACAGAATATACAACATGGATGAAACGGGACTTTTTTATAGGTAGGTAAAGTTGCTTTTGAATAAGAACGAATGTTATAATTCCAATTACCAAAGAATAATTGTAATCTGCCTAACTGCTTACGAATCCTCAATTGAACTTGCCCGAGAAAAAGGAGTTTTTCCGCTTATATTAATTGCGCAAGATTACCGTTACTCTAGTTTATAATTAAATACCAATTACTTCATATTTATAGGTTAGAACCTGATCGAACGTTAGCATCGAGACGCCTTGCAGGTCGTAAATTAAATAAAGAACGTCTTACCATTGCATTATGCGCAAATGCCGACGGTTCGCACAAATTGGATCCTCTTATAATTGGCAAGTACCGAAAGCCACGCTGTTTTAAGAATATTAATATCAACAATATTCCCATGATGTATCGTCATAATGGCAAGGCTTGGATGATTACCTTGCATTTCCAAGAGTGGATTCAAAAATTCGATCTTCAAGTTGGCATAAAGCATCAAGGCCAAAGGGTGTTATTACTTCTTGATAACTGTTCCAGTCATTCATTAACCGGCCTCATCTTAAAATACACTGATGTTTGTTTTCTGCCTCCAAACACTACATCGAGAATCCAGCCGATGGACGCAGGGATTATAGTAACTTTTAAACGATATTATCGTCGTTTTCATCTACGGTAAGATATATCCACACAGCTATGTATACGTATTTTAGTCTTTATATTTATTTATTATTTGTTTATTTTAAAAAAGCTTGTTGCTGCAGCATGTGGAGGGGGGAGAACGTGCGGAAGATTTACGCATGAATGTCTTACAAGCGATTCAATTTATTGTTCAAGCCTGGAGTCAAGTTAGTGCTGAAACTATTCTCAATTGCTGGTATCACACGAAAGTTCTTCCAATGGATTTGCCAAACCTATCAGAAAACATTCAGCACAATGACTCTATAATCAATGACCTTACGAATGCGCTTCGAGAGCTTAAACTGTCAAACACAATGCTGGTAGAAGAGTTTCTTAATATTCCTGAAGAGAATAATATTTATGAAGTTCCTGATAATGACCACGAACTCGTCTATCTCTTTAAGGATATTAATCAAGAAACAGCAGACGCAGAAGAGATAGATGATAGTCAGGAAAGTCCTGTAATTAATACAAGTACAGCCATTACTAGCTTGGAAACTCTGCGTACATTTCTCCTGCAGCAGGACAATGCAGAGAAATATTTAAACTTGCTACAA